AGTTAAATTAACTGTGAACCACAAGGCCGGTGGTTAGAGTCCACCAACTGCTCTGGGGTAGAAAGATGATGCTTTCTGCTCCTTCAAAGACTTATGACCTCAGAAAGCCTATACAGGGTCTCTGTGAGTCAAGAACGACTCAATGGCCCTTAACAGCAATAATGTCCTAAAAGATTTACTTTCTGCCATTGGGGCCCTCTAGCATGATTATGTTACCCCCTGATCTTTTGATGTTATCTGAGATTGCATATGTAGATAGTCATATTGCCATGAATATTATCTTTTTCTTAAACATATATGTAATTTATTGTAGTGTTCTTAATATTCTGCCAAGTGTTTTTCCACTCCACTAACTGAACACAGAACCTTTCTATAGCCTCTGAGGTACATTTTGCAGTAGTGAGTAGAAAATAGAGACACAAGGTCAGCGGGAAGAAGACAGTCTCTATGCAGATTAAGACCAGGGCTCTGGTCCAGTTTGTCCCTTACTGGTCTTGTGAACATGAGAACTATGCAAATTCTTCATCGGCAAATTTAGACTGATAAGCTCTACCTTGTTGGCCTGTGGGAATGTATGGACTAATAGAATGCACTTGGAAAACTGATAGGTAAACACTCTGTTTATTGAATGGCAACATTATGAACTCAGAAAATACAAGTTCATCACAATTTTTAAAAAAAATTAAATCTAGTAGATATTAGAGAATATGCAATTCTCCAGGACAAAACAAAACAAAACAGAAAGTATTCTTAAGCAAGGCAACAGAATCCAGGTGGGTACATAGCTACTAAAATTATAAAAAAGCAAGATGAAAATGGATAAGGCATGCTAAGAACTGTCACCTTGGTGGCACCTTCCACATTGTGATCCTGTCTTAATGTGGGCTTCTTTCACATTTCCATGGAAATCTCTATTCCAATAGCATGCTACCTTATTCGAGAACATGAAGAAAATACTGACACTTTTCAAGTTCTTTTATCAACATCAAAACTCTGTTTCACTTATAAACAACAAAACTGTGATGATTATGTCATTTATAAACTTAGATTCTAAAGCAAAATAAACCTTATATTAAAAAACACACCATCTTAAAGGACTATATACGTACAAAGAGAGAGAGAGAGAGATAGGAGAGATAAATAGAAAACATGTGACTTGTATACAGCAAGAATACAAAGAAGATAAACATTTTGTTTCCTTTAATTCCACCTCTGCCCCCACTACTTAGAATGATGACAGCCATTTAAACCACAAAGTGGAGAATCTGCTCAGACTTCATTTAATGCGAGAAAACCTAGTAGACTTGCCCTTGGAACGTGCACCGGCTCTCACATTAACAGCTCTGGCTTGGGCTCTCTCTTCCTCATCTCTCAAAGCTTCTTCGTACAGAGCAGAGAAGGAGCTGGGAACTGTATTGTTGATCTTGGCCAAAACTTGAAGGACTTTCATCTTGGTGGTTTCAGCGTAAGCTCGTGGACCCCAAAGGAATTCATTGCATGGAGGATCACTCTTGGGTACTTTCCGGTATACCAGGAACCTCTCCATCACCAAATCTTTGGTTATAAACTTCCTGGGCTCACCAAAAACTGCATGCCTCTTCCCAGCATAAATACCCAGCACATTCAGGAATTTCCATATAGAGTCTTCACTGGCTCGGTTACCTTTCATGAAAATCATGGCCAAGATTACCATCACCAGACCTGTCTTGGGCATGCCGCTGCCTCCAGTTAGACTTCTTCCTTTGGCAATATTCAACTTGCTGACGAAGTGATAGGAGTTACTGTTGGGGCTATCTTCCTTCAATTCAAGGCCAAAATCCAGCTCCATACGCTCCGCGGCTCTTGTGAGGATCTCAGGGAATTGATCCTCATAATTTTTGTCGAAAACCTGCAGCATCTCTGTTTTCATAATGGGCTCTTTAGTTTTATACTTATGGATCAAGAACTGCACGAACGTGCTTACCATCAAGGGTAGAACATCTCTGCTTAAATTCTCATCGGAAGATTCTGCCTGGGAGATACTTGGTCTCGTATATAAGATGCCAGCACCCTCATTCGATTCTTCGCATGAAACAGCTGCAGCAGGAGTGGTAGTGGCTGGGGCTTCATTAGACTCATGGAAAATACCATCCACAGGGTAGCTCTGGGGGGTATTCCCCAAAACAGAAGAGGAAGAGGGAGACCCTTCCACCTTGGCAGCAGAGGCCTCAGCACCCTGGAGGTCCTGGGTTTCAATACGGGCACGTTGGCGCTTCTCACGGGCACGGAGCTTACTCTTCTGACCACGAGGCATGATGTCTCTCTTGAGAAACCTG